TCTGTTAAATGTTCATGTTTTCGTATTAAGTTTTTCCTCCGTTTTATGTTTTATTTCATGTTGCATGATATTGCAAATAATTTTCTAATAAAAATATACTTTTCCATTTTTAACTCTTTTTCTTAAAAAAAAATAAATAAATATAAATAATAAAAAAATAAATTATATCAATAAAAATATAATAAATATTTATAAACAATTTACGAAAATTAAAAAATATACTTTACCATTTTAATATCTTATTCTTATGCTTGTCGAAATATTTGTTTCTGTTTCAGGTCAACATGTTTCTTTTATGTTTTTTCAAGAAAGTATTTTTGATTAATATGTTTTTGTATTCTGTTTAATGTTGATTTTTTCGTATTAAGTTTTCTCTCTGTTTTATGTTTTATTTCATGTTTTATTTCATGTTGCGTGATTTTGCAAATAATTATAAAATGAAAAACTATACTTTACAATTTAATATAATTTTATGTTTGTCGAAATATTTGTTTCTGTTTCAGGTCAACATGTTTCTTTTATATGTTGTCAAAAAAATATTTTTTATTAATATTTTCTTATTCTGTTAAATGTTCATGTTTTCGTATGAAGTTTTTCCTCCGTTTTATGTTTTATTTCATGTTGCATAATATTGCAAATAATTTTATAATAAAAATATACTTTTCCATTTTTAACTCTTTTTCTTAAAAAAAATAAATAAATATAAATAATAAGAAAATAAATAATATAAATAAAAATATAATAAATGTTTATAAATAATTTACGAAAATTAAAAAATGTACTTTACCATTTTAATATTTTATTCTTATGCTTGTCGAAATATTTGTTTTTGTTTCAGGTCAACATGTTTCTTTTATGTTTTGTCATTAAAATATTTTTTACTTTGGTTCTGATTTTGTACTGTTTTATTGTAAAATATTATTCTGTTATGTAGAAATATTTTCTTCTGTTTCAGATCAACTGTTTTGTTACATGGCATTTTTAGTTCATTAACAAAATTTTTTGCATAGCAAAATATTTTTATGTATCATGTTGCCACTTTTTTCTCATGTTTGTCACATTTTTTCTGTTTCTGTTTTTTTTTGTTTCAGGTGAAGATAAATTTGTCTGGTTTATATATTTATTGTATACTAATTAATATTTTTTCAGCGTTCCTTCGGAACATAATATAATTCCGTCAATGTTATTAATATTGACGCAAATAAATTGTGTTCCACATTAAAAACAAAGTCTAAAAAAAGTTTTATTTTTCAATTTAATTTAATAATGCAGAAATCTGTAAATAAATTGTAAGTATAAATTTTTAATTTTTACACCATAGATTCATACTGAATTGAATTCTAAAGACTTTGCTTTTAATGTGTTCAATCGGAGAAAAAACATATTTTATCATAGTATTCAATATTTATTTTACAAACATAAATCTTGAATTACTAAGACAAATATTCATTTTTATTTGATTCAAAGAAATTATTTTTGATTGAAATAAAAAATTTTCTCTCGTTGAAGGGAGGAGTGGAGTAGGCCTATGCCACATTGGTCCAATCACAAATTCAAATGCGTTAAAATTGTAAACGTGTTTTGCTATAAATTTGTGATTGGAAGAACTGTGTGCAAGGGGAAACCACATAAAAGCGCGTCTAATGTTCAACCTCCTGGGTGACGCGGAATAGAACATAAAATTTTATATTTCTTTGGAAACCGATTATTAAAATTGAGAAAATTAAATTTTATTATTATTATATTTATTACTTCCATATATTTTAGGACTAAACATTTTGTCTATTCTTGAAAAATTTTCCTAATTTATAATAAATTTATCATATAATGTTTATGATGTTTAACATACTTATTTGTTTTTTGTATAAAATTTTCTTTTAATGTTTTTTTGTTAAATGTTTTTTCCTCTATTTTTTATTAATGTTTTTTTATTATGTTTAATGTTTATTTTCTCGTATTAAGTTTTTTCTCCGTTCTATGTTTTATTTCATGTTGCAATTTATTGCAAATAATTTAGAAATTAATAATATACTTTTCAATTTTATAATCTTTTTCTTATGTTTGTCGAAATATTTGTTTATGTTTCAGGTTAACATGTTTCTTTTTTGTTTTGTCAAGAAAATATTTTTTACTTTGGTTTAAGTTTTTTGCTGTTTTATTCTAAAATATTATATGCTATGTAGAAATATTTTCTTCTGTTTCAGGTCAACAATTTATTTATTTAAAAGGAATAAAAGGAAGTCTTTTTATATTTAATTATTTAATAAACCTTAGTCAAATTGAAATCAACCGAATTACATTAACTTATTTAACTATTTATGATGATTGAAATATTAGAGAAAAATAAATTTTAATTATTATTATTATTATTATTATATTTATTACTTCGACATATTTGAGAACTAAATTTTTTTTCTATACTTGAAAAATTTACCAAATTAATATTATTATTTCTTTTGTCTTATGTCCAATTAAATAAAAACAATAATTCCCCTTATCACCACATCTCGTTTAGGCGAAAAAAAAACAAATAAAAATGGAAAAATCCTAAATGAATCGTGAATCTTTAATTTTCCAAAATTGTCGTTTTGACATCACTATAATAATTGAAATGAAACGGGAAACGTATATAATGTTTGCTCGTATATCCATTCGATCCGAGCGCGCGTTGACTTTCTCTGATATCTTTTATTTCCTCGCGTATTTTATTTTTCAATTCGGATGCAGTCGAATGAGATTTTGCAAATATACGTATTCGAGGAAAACTATTAAAAAGATTAACACCAAAAAAAAAAAGTAAAACACAAAACAAAAAAAATATAGAAGCTAAAAACAGAAAAATGATATGAAAAAAATTTGTAAACAGAAGAAAAATTCGTTAAAAATATTCCATAAGAATATTCTGCAAAAATATTGTTTGAACAAGGAAGGAAAGAAAAAAAAATTGGGAGAAAAATTTTACAGTTAAATTGAAAAGTTAAAATCTGGAGTTGTTACAATTTCTTAATTTAGTCAAATTATTTGAAGAAAAATATTCTTTAATTTAACAAGAATATTTCAGAAATATTTAAGAGAATATTCCAGAATTATTTAGTAAAAGTATTCTTGTGTTTAACAAAAAATACTTTAGTAGAATTTAATAAAAATATTTTACTAATATTTAACAAAAAATACTTTTCTGATATTCCAAAGTTTCTAATATTCCTTTTAGAATATAAACAAGGGAATATTCCACACAGATTGATAGTACAATTATTTTTCTAACTCGTCGTGATTGTTAAAAAAATTTTTTTTTTCTCTCTTACGAAAAAAATTGGGCCTCGTATAGGATTTTGAAATTAATACAGTTGAACGATAAGGAGTCGGATAAAAGAATACTGGTTAATTATCCACAGAAAGTGAACTGTGAGTGAGACTTGTTGGTGCATTCAGAACGATCAGAAGAGAGAAAGAGAGATAGAGAGAGTAGTTCATAAACACTTTCGAGTGTAATGCGATGGTGTCGAGCACACATACATCAAAGGGTTCGGGAGGGTTCCTTTCTCGCCCGGTGGCGAAACTTTGACTCGAGTTTGTTTGTCGCTTTGTTTGATTTTCTATTCACAGAGATAGCTTTCACTTACGCTCTGCGGACCAAGATTAAACAGATTTCAAAATGTCTCTCGCCACCCTTTTTCTATGAGTCCCTTGAAAATTCACTCTTTCACAAAATACACTACTATATGCCTTTATTTTTTACACCTCTTATTATGTTTCACCTGATCATTTTCAGACATTATTGTGTCCCTGAAATTTTTTCATTTTTTGGAGTTTCTATAAAAATTTTTTGGCACCTAAATATTCCAAAATTCGTAAAGAAAAAAAATATATTCATTAGAAATATACGAGAGGAAGCCTAATATTTAATCTAAAAGAAAAAATATTTTAATGGAAAAATAGAAATATTTCTCAATAATATTTCCGTGGAATACTAATTTAAATATCCTTCAGAAATATTCCCGTTGAATAATTAAAATACTAATAATATTTCTCAGAAATATTTCCGTCAAAAACAAATATTTATTAAAAATATTTAAAAGCAAAGTCTAAGAATATTTTTCAAAAATATTTAATCGGAAAACCAGTAATATTCCAGTAGAATTCTGGATACATTTCTTGGTAATATTTCAGTGGAATATTAATAATATTTCTCAAAAATTTTCCCATTGGATAATAAAAATATTCGACAGGAGTTTTCAGAGAGTTATTCAAAAATATTTAAATGAAAAACGGGGAATATTTCAGAGAGTTATTTAAAAATATTTAAATGAAAAACGGGGGATATTTCTTATCAATATTCTAGTGGAATACTAATAATAATATCCCTCAGAAAATATAAAAATATTTATTACAAATATTCCAGTCGAATGATTCATTAAAAATATTCTAATAATGCTCTAACATTATTTAGAAATTATTTATGTAGAAAACTAGTAATATTTCTCAATAATATTACTGTGGAATACTAATAATATTTCTCAGAAATATTTTCGTCGAATAGTAAAAATGGTCATTAAAAAAAATATTCCCCCATCGAATAATAAAAATATTCTTTAGAAAAATTTAAGTAAAATTTAAAATTTATGCAGAAATATTTAAACGGAAAACTAGAAATATTCCTTAGTGAAATTCCACTGGAATACTAATAATATTCCTTAAAAATAATCCCATCGAATAATAAAAATATTCAAAAGGAGTTCCAAGAGTATTATTTAAAAAAAATTTTAATAGAAAACTAGGAATATTTCTCAGTAATATTTCAGTGGAATACTAATAATATCCCTCAGAAATATTCCAGTCGAATATTAAGTAGGCAGTGGAAAAAATTTCCCTATTCCCTAAGCAGTAAATAAAATAAATTAAATATAAATTAAATAATAAAATTTTACACTCAAAATATTAAAATAAAAAAAATTCGAAAATAAGGAATGAATTGAAATATTAAAATTTTTTTGACTTACCCATTACTTCTGGTTCTGTATTTTCTTCGACTTCTTATTGAAAACTGAAGAAAAATCCATCACCTGTAAATAAATGTAATACTAAATAAAATACAAAAGATAATAAAATAATAATAATAATTAAACAATACTACTAATACTAAAAAATTGAATTAATTAGAAAAGGGAGACAAATATAAATTATTGAATAAATTGGAAAATATAAATTTTTAACTAAATTGCTAAATACAAGAAAAATATTTTTAAAATATTAAAGAAATTAATTTCCCTCCTCCTATTATAGTGAGAGAAGAAGAAAGTTTTTATTTACCATGAATTGAAAAATATTGACACTCAATTTTTTCACAAATTTTTAATTACTAAATATAGTTGAAATTAATTTTTTTATTAAGTGCTTGTTTGATTGTATAGTAATAATGAGTCATCACAAATTTTCGAGAGCTTAACTCTCTTATTCAATGATGATGAATATATACTTAGTGTGTAGAGTTTTTGAAATGTTTGATTTTTTTCTTTCTTTCAAGTGTATGAAGAGAATGATACACAGGTAATGAGGAAAAATAGCAGAGACGGAGAAATTGCAAAGAATGAGGGAAATAAAAGGAAAAAAAAGAATCAATTCAGAGTGAGATTTGAGGATGAAAAACGAGATGATGAACTCTTCACATTTGCTGTTACTGGCGAGAGAAGAGCGTCATTATAATATATCGGTTTTTTGATCTCTCTCTTTTATCGTTAGGCTGCATTTTAAAATTTACGCTCCACCACTTTTCACTCGTCGATTTTATTTTATATATACGTATATCATTCACGAATATCTTTTTCTTGAATTATACTTTTCTTTTCTTTTTTTCTTTTTTTTTTATGTTGGGATAATTTTATCCTCGGTGGCGGAAAAATTATTCGATGATATCCATTCACTATAGTATAATAATTAGTAAATTTCTCTTAATTACATTTTATTTCATTTTATTGAATCTTATTTTATTTTATTTCGTAATCATTTCATTTTGTTTCATGTTCATTTGATTTTTATTCAAATTCTGTTTTTTATTAACATTAACATTTTATTAACATTCCAAGAGAATATCAAATACTCCAAAAGAATATTAAATATTCCAAGAAAATATTAAATACTCCAAAAGAATATTAATCATTCCAAGAGGATATTAAATATCCGAAGAGAAAATTAAATACTCCAAAATAATATTTAACATCCTTTGAAGAATGTTTAATATTTCAAAAGAATATTTTACATTCCAATAGAAAAAATTTCAAAACAATTTCAATTTTTTTTTCATAAATTTATTAACATTCCAAGAGAATATCAAATACTCCAAGAGAATATTAACTTCTCCAAAAGAATATTAAATATTCCAAGGGAAAATTAAATACTCCAAAATAATATTTAACATTCCAAAAGCATATTAAATATTTTAAGGGAATATTAAATACTCCAAAATAATATTTAACATTCCAAAAGTATAGTAAATATTCCAAGGGTATTAAATACTCCAAAATAATAATTAACATTTTTAGAAGAATGTTTAATATTTCAAAAGAGACTTAAATATTCCAAAAAAATATTAAATGCACCAAAGTAATATTTAATATTTTTAAAGAATATTAAATACTCGAAAAGAATATTTAACGTTACTAAGGAATATTCTTTACTCCATGAATCGAGAAAAACAACTCTGAAAGCATACCCCAAAAAAACAGTAAATATTCCCTTGTAATTAACATTAAATTTTTTTTAGATTTTGAATAAATTTGAGAAGGAAACAAATTGTTTTTTGATTTTTGTGTTGGTAAGTGAAATTCAATAATTGAGTCATCAGGTGTGCCATCGGTACAAAATCTCCTCTTCTTGTCCTACCCGTTATTGTATTTTTGATATGGCCATTATCTACGCTTCGACGCCTACAAGGTTTTCGTAATTCGAAGGGATCAAACTCTCATCATCCCAAGTCGCTTAGAATTCCTCCTTGTTTATAATTCCATTTAATTACATATTTCTCCTTTTATTTTCCTCTCAGGGATTATTATCATTACTATTATTTTTATTATTATTATTATTATTACTATCATCATTATTTTTATTATTATTTTAAATTATCATAACCAGAAAAAAATTATATTTGACTCAGAGGCAACTATAGACATTTTATTTTTTTCAAATAAATTTTATGTGGTTAAAAGAAAGTATTATTTATATGAAATAAAATTTTTATTCAAAACAAATAAATAACCTATAGTTGGCTCGAATTAAAAAAATAATATACTTTTATTTAACTCAAATAAATTATATTTGATTTAAATAAATTATTTCTCTGGGTGCACTTGAAAATATTTTCTTAAATTATTTATTGTTTTTCGTTGCTAATATTTTCTATCATAGATTTTTTTATCTTTTTTTACTCAATTGGGAAAATTTCTTCTTCTTCTTTCTCGAATTTCTTTAATAGTTTTTTGTATATATATATATATATATATATATATATATATATATATATTTTTAATATTTCTCGTATTTCATTAATCCTTTATTCTCAAATATTTTATCAATATTATTTATTGTATTCTTATTATTATACATTCTTTCTCAAATTTTTAACGAAACAATGCTTGCAATTTTGATAGATTTTATAATGAATGGAATTTTTTTTACATCTAAATTTGAATAGAAGTCTGAATTCTGTAAATGAAATTTTGAGGCGTGTGTCACAATAATATTGGATATAAAAGAAGGAAAGTGAGAAAGAGAGAGAATGAGAGAGAGAGTGAGAGAGAGAGAGATTAAGATAAATTTTCAGTCACCAATAAATTCAGTGAACTGAAATCCTTGCACGCATCGAAAATTCTGTTTCCCAGGCAAGGTATATGTGGATAATCACACAATGATAGTTCAGCGACCATAAAGCCTGGGTGTCGATATACAACTGTAGATGAAGAGCCTAATGAAGAGGTGTTGAACCGTACCCTATAAACCCCATTGCAACGAGAACCAAGGGTCTCCTACATAATAATTTACAGTTCACTCATCAGTTACGGGTTTTAACCAATTACAAGATATTAACTCGAACGAAGGGATCGCTGCTGCGAGAAAACGGGGGTGGTTTTTCTCTCTATATAATTATATATAATACTTTATATATTATTTCTCCCTCTCATTTTATTTCATCCTACGCGCAGATTTCCATAAAAGTGGTATATTTATGTTATAATAATTTTTTTAATATTTACATTCGATTTGGAAACGAATTTATATTTATATTTATACGACTTTTACACTAAAAAGAAATTATTTTTAAAATACACGCTCCGAAATTGTGTTATTTTTAACTTACGTAAGTTATGCTAGTTACGTAATTGACGTAATATTGTTATTTATCAATTAACTACACCCAGAGAAATGGTATATTTGTCTCAGAACCAACTAGACTTTTTATTTGTTTCAAATAAATTTTATTTGGTTTAAATAAAATTTTATTTGGCTCAAACATATGTTTTATTTATGTCGAATAAAATTTTTATTTAAAACAAATAAAAAGTCTAGTTGGTTCTGAGACAAATATATACGTTTATTTAACTCAAATAAAATATATTTGGTTTAAATAATATTTTTCTCTGGGTGTATAATAATTTGAATGTTCTTTCATTTATTCATTTTTTCTGTCCTCCCTCACACTCTGAAGTTGTCTTTTGTTTATGCTTTTGTTTTTTGTTAGCTTTAGATATACTGTATATTATATTATTATGTTATAATTATTTTTATTTTATAATTCATTCAAAATTGTAATGACAAATTTTTTTTCACTTCATCTCATTAAAATACTAAAATTTTGTTAAATATTATGTTTTGTCAAATTGAAATTATGCAGATTTTTGTTCTTTACTTCTAAGAAAAATTAGAAAATTGTTAAACAGCTGTGATTAAGAAATAGAAAATTTATTTATTTTGCATTATTTTTGTTTATGAATCACAATTTTTTTAACAAAATTATTATTTTATTTTAGAAAAATAAGAAAAATATTTGCACAATTCCTATTTTTAATCTTATTTTTGGAACAGAATTTTCCACAGAAATTAAGACTTTCAAAAATTTCAAATTCAAATCTTTTTTAAATTAAACAACTTATAAAAGTTTTGTTATAAAATATGAAGATATCCATTGCTCGGAGTCTTTGACTCGGAGTCATTAATTTCTTCATGTTTTCTAATTAAAGATGTCTGAGAGATAAAATCATTATTTTATAATTTATATCATAAGAATATTTTTACTGTAACTTCATCGAAATTACTTTCATCATTTTAATTTAATTATTATTTTCTAGAATTTTAAATTATTTTTTATGAAAATAGTAATTGAATTTCTTAAAAAAATTTTATTATTTATGAAAATAATTGAATTCGGCCCCGTTGAATTCCTGTGAAAATTTTATTATTTATGAAAATAATTAAATGTTTAAATACAATTTTATTAAAATTTTTTTTAAATATTTGAATTCTTTTTGGAAAATTTTATTAAAATAGTGGATATTGAAAATCATTAAAATTAGAAAAATTTTTGAAAATAATTGAAATTAGGACAAGAATTTTTTTTGACATTTATGAAAATAATTGAACTTTGGAGAAGTTATTTATAAAGATAATAAGAATTTTACTTTTTTTGAAAATAATTGAATTTCTGCAATTATTTGTAATTTCTCCAAAATTAAATTTTTTAGTGTTTTCAACAAAAATTTAAATTATAAAATTTTTAAATTCTATTATTTTTAAAATCGCTAATTTTATTTAAAAAAAAAGTAGTAAAAATAAAAAGTAAGCCTTTTTCTTACTTAAAAATTTTTGAAAATAATAATTGCTTTTCTGCGACGAATTAAAAGTTTCTTTTATAAAAATAATTGAATTATTGCAACAAATTTTATTATTTTATTGAATAATTGAATGTTTCTTAAAATTGAATTCTTTCGTCAAATTTTAATAATAATTTTGAGAATAAATGCAATTTTGAAGGAATTTATTTAAAATGGTAGGTATAAAAATATTTTAAATTCTG